CTAATAGCAACCAACAAAAGTCATATTGTGCGCCAAAAAAAAAGAAAATAAATAAAAATAAACCGCCTGGCGTGCCGTGTGTAAATAAAACTGGGGCGCCCGGATTATCTCCCAGGAGAGCAATCTCGAGGAAAGAGCTGCCAGTAGCCGCAGGTGGGAGCGAAAAATTGATACCCTGCCCAGCTCGGCATTATATTGTCTCGAGACGCACGTCTCTCTGAGAAATTATACGCGGCGATACGGGCAAAGTTTTTGCGTCAATCGGAAATTTGTTCCCTCTCGCTCGACGTCTCTTTCTTTCTTTCTTTCTTTCTGATGGTTGAGGTGTGCGTTTGAGAGATTACATTTCTCTCAGCCCGCTGTTTCCTACCCAGAGTTTGGTTTGTTCGGCAGGGGACCCTTTCAATAATTCACGTTTGATGTGAACTAGCGGGGCGAGAAACCAGATGTATGCTTTTACTGGTTGCATCTGCCCCGCGAGCCAAGAAGTTTGGCTTTTTCGATGTTATTCTCGGGCCTCCCGCAAAAGTTGATGTTGCTAACTTTTGGGCGGCGCGCATTTTCCACTTGGCCGGGCGCCGTGTGGAATAATTGATTGGCGCCAAGTGAGCCTTCAACGGAAGTTACTTAGTATAGACTTCCTGAGGTGCAAGAAGTTCAGCCAAGATTTTCACAACATCATTAGGCATTTCGCACTGGGAATTGCGAAAAAACTACAACTTTAGCGTTAGGGTTTTATTATTATTTTCTCTTTCATTTTGGCATAAATGAATTATAATTATTGATAAGAGAAAAGAATATGAAATTTATAGGAAATGTTCATGTTCAAGGTATGATTCATGACTTTAAAATTAAAAATGGTAATTCCCTAGTAAGTTGCATGCGGTCATATCTCTTTTGAAGAATTTATAATTTAATATTCTATCTCCCACTATCTCCATTGATTATGAATGAATATATAAGTGAGAAGATATTTTATTTTACTAAAAAAAAAATTGTGTGAACAAAAATTACAATGTTTTTACAAATTGGTTAATTAAAAATTATTTCAAAATTATTGTGCACGATATATTGCCAAATATAAGTAAAAACCAAGTAAAATTAATAAAATTTCCTGAAATCATCATGTTCTTTGCATGAAGCTTTTCGAATTTCATCCAACTTTGTTCCAAAGCAGATCAAAGAAGAAAGTTGAGAAAAGTTGGTTTTCTCATTTGAACCGGAGCGCATTTGGAGCGGTGATTAAATTTTCTCACGCGGACATCGAGTAATCCGGCTTGAGTGATCGCCGACGGCAGCAGCTTTCACCGTTCTCTCTCTTTCGTCTGGCAGATTAATCTTTCGCTCATTAATCTGCAACCAGTTGGTTCGTCGGCCGGGCGAGCCAAGTTTGTTCAGCAGTTTGCCAGCAAGGTTTGCGGCCGAGTCGTCGGATTGTGCCTCGCCAAAGCTGCTGGTGAAAAATGCATCTCGGCAAAGTTGGTTCGGAGCGTAGAACATGCCAAAGAGTGCCGCAGTGTTAAACTTTGAAGCGGTTTCACGTTTTCGAGCCACTGCTAGCAAACGAATGAGAGACGACAACCGCCTCAAGAAGGAGAAGCTACCAAGAACAAAGGCACTCGCTGCCAAAAAGACTCAGGAAACAGCGATGCTCATTAAAAATGAAGCTTTAATTTTGACAAAATTTTTCATTCTTCATCTAAATTGTGCGTTCCTCGAGGAATTTACCTAAAAAATTTCACAAATTCTTGTTTAATTTTTTTAATCTGGCCAAAGAATCAATAAATTATGTGCAGAAAATCTAAAGAAGAAATTTACAAATCAACACAGTGGAAAGAGAAATCTTTAAGTAATTTAACAATAAAAAATTGGCAGATTTTCTATTAAAATTTTATCATTAATCATAAATTCTAATAGAGAATATTTAAATGTAAATTAGCACAAATTAAATTTTGCTTCCAACAAACTTGGCTTTCATCTTGGAAGAAATTTTTGATTCACGCTTTAGCAGCTTTTGAAATTTCACAGAGACTGCTTACATAATCAAGGTTTGACGCCATTCATCTCATAGTTTAATAAAACAGTCACGACGCCTGCTCTCGCTTTGAAAGTGTTGCGCCCAAATTCCGATTTAATTAAACTGAGCTGCGAACTGCCGGAGACGCTTTTTAAAGAAAAGCCGAACGTGACGTACTTTCTCGTCGGCGCGGAGCAAGCAGGCGAAATGAAGTGCTGAAATTTCCTCTCTGATCGTGTCAGCCTGGGTGGAGAGGAGGTGAACACCAACAGGTTTCCATTTACGTGTAAGAGAGATGGGTGCTCGGCAACCTACGTTGCAAGCATCAAGACTGATTTAATAAATTGCTTCTCCATTCGGGAAACACGATCCGGTCGCTTTTTCACCGGGCCAATTTCTCGCACTCGCGACTAATGAAATTCAGGACATGCTAAATTTCCAACTTGAATGGGAGAAGAGAGCATTTCCGAAAGTTGACGTACTGAAGGGACCGGTCGGCACGGTACTTCTTGGCCTCTGGTGCTTAGCAAAACTTTCCTGTCTCCAGCCCATTAAAAAGTTTTGGTTCAAAAAAGGCACCGCTCGGACTAAGCGCGCTAAAGCAAGGCATGCAGAGAGACGAGAATTAATTAAGATGGCAATGAGCGAGCGAAGAAGAATAATAGCGGCGGAGGCGGGCTGCTGGTAATTTATGTTTGGCCAAGTCTCTCTCCCTTTCGCGTGCTCCGTGCCCATATTCACCCCAAAGCGCAACAACCGCAGCGAAAAACGATCTCACGGAAATAACTTGCTCGCTTTGCTGCTGGCTGAAAAAGAGATATTACGGTTTGTCTGGTGGGAAATTTTGTGGGCGAGTAATTGAAAAAATATGGCTTTCACTGTATGACAAATGAAAATGATGGCATAGACTTAAAACTGATTTTTCTTCTTGACTCCTTTTGCCAAATAAAAGCAGCTATTTTCCTAAAAATAAAATCAATTAAATATTAAAATTGAAAAATAAATTAAAATGCATATAATGGTTAAATAAGAAGTTTTCAAAAAAGAATTAAATTTTTGCCTTTTAAAAAATAGACAATTGAAATATTTCCGAGCGAAAATTAAATTAGAGCGGAGGTTTAAATCCATATTTCGCTTTCAATCTTTCATTTTTTTATTTTTTATTTAAGACTCATTGATTGAAATTACTAGCCAGACCTTCTGTTAATTATTATTAACGCTAAAAGTTAAAATAAGAGTAGAAGAAAAACTGTTCCTTACTTTCTGCTGATTTTTGAACAGCCAAAAACGTTCATTATTGCATAAAATCATGTTAATCACCAGATTCAAAATTGTGTTGATAATTCCAAAGTAATTTGACTAATTATAAGGTCATTAATCATAGCCTTTTATATTTTTTTTTAAATATTAGTTTAGACATTAGTATTCAAAGATGTGGAGGTTATGTTATAATTATGTTATTATACAATATACGGTGTATACTAGAGAGATGAATTTTGTGTAACCAAACATTTCAATGGTATCTTTCATTTATCTACAATAAAATAAATACTTATTAGATTAAAATAAATTTAATATACAGTATATTGTATTGATTTTAGTTAAAAAAGGGAAGAATATTTTACATTTATTTGCATAATATACAATAAATTTGTAATATTTTTTCTTTAAAAAGTATTTTGGTTTTTTGTTTTATGTAATATAACAATTGTTTTTTCCGTGTCCATACAACATATTATGTACTGTACATTATTTTGTTGGTCACTATTGGCAATATTTCTCACCAACCTGTAAATTCAATTTTCCTCTTTGCACGTCCAATTTTATTGCTGCTGGTGGTGGTCAGCGGATGAATAAAACATTGGCAAAGAAATTGTTTTGCGTCACTCATTGCCGCGAGGGTGAAAACGCGCAAATAAATCGCCAGAAACGTCAAGCTAACCGCAAATAAATATTGCGTCGCGACATCAATCTTGCCGCTAAATTATTGCCTTTGATAATGATTTATCGATCGCGCGGGCGGGCGGACACGAGCGAGCAAGGACGGAAATGAAATGCTTCTTCGTCGCACGACTTTTTCTCTCCGTCTCTTTTTTACAGGCGTACACCAGCGGACCCTTATTTCCTCTTTGAAAAACGACTCGTTATGCGGTTTTAAATTGGAAGCGCATCGATTTTCACGCAGACAATACGCCACGAATCAATGAAATTAATGACCAAGCATTGATCGTACCGAGAAAAGAGATTCAATTCCGATAATAATAAAAGTGTGCTGATGCTCGACAAGGTCTTATCTTCTTGCTGACTTGCGGCGAGATATTAATGCTTTTCTTTCCGAGATGACGCACCTCTCTCTCTCTCTCTCTCTCTCTCTCTCTCTCTCTCTCTCTCTCTCTCTCTCTCTCTCTCTCTCTCTCTCTCTCTCTCTCTCTCTCTCTTTCGCTCTCGCGGCAAGTACTTGTGCACACGGCAAGAGTCGATATTTTCATTGCGCCTCGTGACGCACACGCAAAGTTTTTCACCCAATATTGATTGACCTGCGGGCTATTATGCTGCCAATATGTAAAAGTTTGCCGTTGCGAAAACAAACATGTCGTTTCATTATGTGCGAGTGGTGCAGCCCTTGCAAAAACACGCGCCATCAGCTTAACACAATGAAATTTGTTACGCTTTTCAACCCCTCCTAGCTGTTTTCATTTCGTGCTCAGAAAAAGGCAACAGATGTCGACGCGTTTGTTTAATGTCTCACTCGCGTTCGTAATTGGAAAAATGCGCTTTTACGCGTTTTTGTATGAAAAGTGGAACACACGCAGCCGACGGGCTAAATGATGTGGAAATTACTTTTGATGGGCGACAAAAGCGGGATTTTTTTTTTTTTTTTTTTTTTGCTCGCCAGCGAACAAATCGTCCAGTTTTTATTCATAATTTCCATGCAACACATGGTGATGTGATATTTCACAATTCTTTTGAAATTACGTCCTACCTGCTTGTTGTCTGTTCCGTCTTTGTTCTTGGTTGCCGACCCTGCCGTGATGAGTCTCTCACAGTAACAGCCTTCCAGCAGGAGAACTCCTGATGGCCTATTGCATGTGTCGGACTCGTAGTAAAACATCAGATTCTGAAACAGAAAAAATATTGATAAAGAATTAGAGTATAAATTTTAAATAATCATAAATAATTCATATTTCATTACGTACAAAAAAATTCAGTATTCGAGTATTGTTTTTAATATTTTTAAAAATGATTTTTATAATGATTATTAAAATTTATCCACATACTTATTAAATGTAAATAAAACTTAATCCAGCAACTAAAATTTTTTAATTTTTTTAATTTTTGAACATTGAAAATTAAAAAAAAGAAAACTTTATTTTGAAAAAAATTATTTTATTCTAGTATGATTTTTTTTTTATTATTTATTATAAAGTTTTAACCAAAATATTACACATTGTTAAGAGAATTATTTCTCGCAAATCAATTTCGACTCATCCTCTCATGCATGTTGATGCACTTAAAAAATGAACTTCGAATTAATATGGAATCATTTTTATCACGAATATCTATTTATTAAGAACAAAAATTACTATAATTTTTGTAACACTAACACGCAGTGTCAGAAATACAACGTTCGGTACTCGCAACTATTTTCTTTGATTTTCAAAACGAGTCCAAAAATTGCAAACTGCAGAAATTTGTGGCCCCTTCGATTTCTTTTCTAGGCTCACTGCGGCGGATGGGGCCTTTTTGATCTCGTAAGTTTTATCAAAATCTTGCTGGTGGTGTTGCCGCATTTCCAACAATTCCTTATTTTGTCAAATAAATTGTTTTGGATAGTTGAATGGAATGTAACAATTTGGACAATATTTGTAAGAGAAAACTGTCGCAAGAGAGCGTTCGCGTTTTTCCAGACCAAACAAAATGCATCAGACTCTTATCTGTGTTCGCGGAATAGCAAAGCGCGGCTAGTGTCCCACATCTGTCTGTTTCGTTTTTTCCGCAGTGACGTCTGCTAAAAATAGCTGTCGGTGTCGACGACGCCTCTGCATTCGCCCAAGATTGAAATGTTGTTCACGCACGCAGCCAGGGCACGGCGTGCATGCATTTGATAGCGGTCCCAAATTGACAGTGTGTATGTCAGGCCCTGCGCTCGCCCCTGCCACACATCTGCCTTGCCCGATCACAGACAGACAATGGAGGAAGTGTTGCACGTGATTCCTCTCTGTACGCCGTGTCTGTCTGTCAAGCGGGAATTGCTCACTTCAAACGCGAGGAGACCGAAACCCGTCAAATCACAATGCAACCCCCGATTTACGTAAGCCTTACTTTCCAATTTTCATACGCAATGGGAATAATTTCAACCACATTTCACTTGGAAAATGTTTGAAAATTTTAATGTTCATTTATAATTTAAAGCCAGGAATAATTAAAAAAATTGAGATGAAAATGGCATTACATCTTTTTAAAATATTACAATTAAGTTTGAGTGAACTTCACTTTGAAATGCAATAAGATTTTCAGTCTGAGCTACGATTGGAATCCCCTCCGTCAGCTCAAATTATGTATTGTTTTACCAAAAATTGTGATTTCGGTTACATATCATCAAAACATAATAGCAGCTAAGAAACTTGTCTTAAAATTTTGAAAATTCTAAAGATAAAAAATCAAACTAGTATAATTATGCCCAGTGGAGCAGTTTCCTATCCTCTTCAAGAACTACCTGTGGCAAAATTTATGATACATGATAAGAACAAAAACTTTGTAAACCTAGGGTCACTGCGTCGGATAGCGTCTTTTGTATTTTGGGAGTTTTATAAAAATTCTTGCTAGTGGTGGTGCCGTTTTGTCCAAAATACCCTTTTTTAAATAAATTGTTTTCAACAATTGAATGTAAACAATGTATTTGTAACAATGAGGACAAATTAACAATAATATTAATTTGCTTTTGATATATTTTAGCAACAATTATTTTATTTTGGAAATTCAATTTCAATCTGTTTTCCTAAAATGATAGTTTTCAAAATGACGAATGAATTGAAATAAATAATAACTGAATTTTTTGCAACATTTTTGATTGAAGAAAAGCCTCATTATCTTGAAAAAGTGAATTTCGAAATCATAAAATGATTGCTGCCCATTAGGTGATATTCAATTGCTTTTATTGTCAGTTTCAGTAATGGTTGGCTGACGAGAATCGAACTTGATCAATTGTGCTGCGTCAAGCATTGTGTTTCGCAACATTCGTGAAATATTCCCTCGGCGCCCGGCCATAAATTCAGCCGCTGCCTCTCTCGGGCATTGTGTTGAAGACGAATTCAGTGCCTACGTTCATGTATCACTCGACGCCAGGCTTATTAAGAGCACGTGATCGATAATAAGCCAGAGTCTTCTTCAGGCGGACGCAATAATAATTAGCATCCATAATAGTAAAAACGTGGCCAAAATTAAATCTCGATTAAAAGTCTGGCCCAACTTTGGCTGTCCCCGCCACAGGCTGCTTTTTTCAAGGGAGTTGCATGAGCCAGGGGATCAGTGGCTAATGAAAGGATAGCGCGGTAAGGGGAATTTCCTAAGGGACGTGCGCACGTTGATGTAAATTTAATAACGCCGGCGGACGCGGCGGGACACGTTTCGGCAGGGCACTTTTCGCCCGGCTCCCTTTGTTTCACTATTTCTTTTTCGCGAGCAGAGATAATTAAAAGTGCGGCGAGAGGTGTAAAAGACTCCGCACACAGAACTCCACTAATTAATGAAGCTCCATGACATTTGGTGACTGGAACAAAGGGAGCTGCTTTTCGTGGAACCAGCGGGAACAAAAACTCGTTGCTTGGGGTTGCAAGTGAAAACAGATTTTCAGTGAGTGTGCTTTTGAATAAATGCGCGAGTTTATCACAAAAAGCGCTTTTCTGTCAGCACACAATAAATAATTCCCAGCCTCTGCAGAAATGTGACAGTTTCAAAATGAGGGTTCCAGGTTTATAATGAAAAAAGTGGTTTTTGGTGAAATTTTAATAATAACATTTGGTGCAAACAAACATTCATTCTGTCCTGCGAATAGGTCTCAGAATTTTTAGAGTTTTGATATTCAAACAAAGTTAAAGTTGCCATGACAGAGAATTATTCAAATAAAATCATTTTCGTGATTGGGGTTTCTTAATGTTTCAAATTAAGGTCAGCTTGTCTTCCTTGATACGTTTTTTGAGGAAAAGTGAATTTAAATTCAAACATCATCAAAAGTAATAAGTTTATAAAATAATAGTGATTTAATCAAAACGGTTTATATGAATACGTAGAAAAAATATAATAAAAATTTTATAAAATAGCGCAGATTTGTAATTAATTATGTTTCTTTTCTTTGTTTATGTTTTTCTTCATATTTTTATATATTATAATTTGCATCAGTAGCACACCTGTGGTGTAAAATAAATGCATTCATTAATCCAAACAATTAAAGTGAATTTAAGAAAATAAATTTAAACATGAATGCAGTTGACAATGTTTTTAATTGCGTTGCATAAATGTTTTTATTTACTTTCAGATAAAAGCCTGTTTTAATAACAAAACGTTTTCAGATATGATAGATATTTCCCTTAATTTATTTTCTTTTCATTTAAAAACAATATATGTTTCTTTTAAACCATTTCAATATATGGAATTATAGAGAAAACCGTAAAATAATAACGCCTGCATGTTTTGGCAGGCTTCAGAATAATAACAATGCGCAAAATTAGTTATTTGTAATTCGCCAAAAAAATCCCACACGCTGTCACACAAAAAAACCGCTGTGACACATTTTGGGCGAGCTCTTTTGAAAGGCGTCGATTCGCGTCAACGTTGGCGAGTTAATGAACCGAGAGCGAGAGCAGCCCTCTGATAATTACACGAAACAAGTGATGCCAAAGGGGCATAATTAAATAATTGCGATGATTGATCACCGAGCTTATCGGTGTGGCAGGCAGGGCCGTGTCCAGCAAATTGAGGAAATAACAGAGGCTGGCGTCAGTCCTTTGAGCGAACTCGTCTTTATCTGTTTATCTCCTAGGTTGGATGGATTTATCCACTAACGAGTTCCCTCGATTCAAAACGGCACTACACCTCGCCCGCCTGGAGAGAAGGGTGGTTTCTTTTATACCAGTTGACCCTAATGCAAGTCGAAGTTCGCCTCCTGTGGCAAAGAGAAAAAAAATTCGGGCTCCTCTCGTATGTACCTGCCGATCTGGCCGGGTCAAGCTAGGGTGCAAAATTTAGCTTTCCGCCTCTTGGATTTGGTACAGTGGAGCACGAAAGCAGGATTTACTTGTTCTGAATAAAAAAAGGAAAATTAACGCTCCGGCTCATGTAAAATTGAAATCACTCTTTTTTCATAAAAAATTTTGAAACTCAAGTTTCGGCAATTCTGGGAATCGTTAATTTGCAAAAGGAAAACTTTACACGGTGAGATGAAAAAGCAAGGATCATCTGTTTTTTTCCTGTCGTAAACGACATTCGCGGAAAATTGAGAGTGGAGCGGGAAAGCAGTATTTTCCTTGTTCTGAATAAAAAAGGAAAATTAAAACCTTGGGTCATAGTGCAAAAACAAAAGCAAATTTTAAATAGCAATTTTGAGCCTGAAATTTGGAGAATCAGTAAATCGCGAGCGGGAAACTTTCCTCTTTTCACAGCAAGACGCAAAAAGCAAGGGTCATCTCTGTTTTTTTTCTGTTTTTTTCTGCCATGGACGACGTTGGTGGAAAATTGAGAAGTATGGAGGTCTCTCTAGTCATTCCTAACACCTCCCTTTTCACTCTCGAACTGGCACTCTGGACGCGGTGAAATAAATCTGCAGAGAGAGCAAGTAGTGGAATTAGATATCTCTCTTTCTGCCTTACCGAATTTTTACCAAAGGCCAGTTTTTATCCGTGTGTATGCGGCAAATTTATAGCTTTTTGCGCATTACGGCTGGCGACCAGGCTGGGTGGATTCGCTCGGGTGCGTCGCTGCTGATTAGCAGATTTACACACGCGCAGGTGGCACTTCTCATCCATCCCCTTCCAGCCAGTCAAATGATTAACTTTGATTGCTACGCAAAGAGAAATCTCCTAATTGTGAATTCAGCTTAATTAGGGAAGTCTCTTTTGAAAA